AAAATATACTACCTACTATAGTATAAATATATCTATCGCGCTAATGTCGTATCTACAGTTAACATTTAAGTAATTATATAAATAAATAGTCAAACGATGCCGACGAACTAGTTACTCCCATAACGTATTGGTCCGTTTTTAACATATTGGAAGCCCCAGAGATAATGGGGTATTGATATGGTGATATGATATAATAGAGATAATGGATAATTTATTGAATTCCAACAAAACAAAAAGAACTTGAAATTAGGATGCCCTATGAAATGACGGACCTGGGCATTTGTTTAGAGCACATCCGACCATAGTTAGTAAGTTTAGCCAAAATGTCTAATGGAGAAAAGGGGCCCGTCAAATAGCCTACAATTATTGATTTATTCTCCGTAGTTTTATTATTTTATTTCTATATCGACAGTACTTGAAAAATATGTCTCAGGAAAAATATTTTTTGTTTTGTAACTGCAATGATAAACAAACTGACGACTCACCTGTGAGTGGTAACCGTCACCAAAATGAATAACCAATTAAAGAAAGAATTTAATAATTTTGCTTTTAATAAAGTTATATAATATAAAACGTAGAGTTGTAATGGAACCCTAAAGAAATGTTATCCATTAAGTTTTACGTATCTACTCATTTTACTTAATGTTTCCCATGAGAATATGAAGACTGTTTACGTCGGGTTATTGGAGAAAACCGTATATTATTATATTATAATCATGATTGTTTCTCCTATTTCTATAACATAATGTACACAATTTTAATGACTTGAATACATATCGCACTGCAATACCTAATAATGAATAGGTATAACAAATGAACATAATTAAGAGCAGGAAGTTAAGATCATGTAGGTCACAAAAACTATATAGTATAATTTTAACGAGGAACGTTGATATGTTTATTTAGTTCCTTAATGATTAACCATTTGTAATATCTCATTCCTATAACTTTAACTTTAACCTACTTCTATAGAAGAATATTCTACATTGTATATTTTGTATGTATATTAAGCGCAATATAAATAGATGCAGACTACTCTTATAAATTATATAAAAACTAAATATATAAAAAAAATTCCCGATATTGTACGGTTTTTATACAATTTTATAGTATTTATTCAAATTAAGAAGTTAGTTCAACAGAAAAGAGTTTAGTATCAAAAATGAAGTGTAGCTCAACATTAGGACTAGTAATTCTGTTTTTATCAACCTACTAAACTGTTCAAAACATTAATTGGGCACTTTAAATCTATGTTTAGTGCACAACTTAAAAAATATTTATAAATTCTTTTACCTAATTTAGGATGAAATTATACTACTGGGGTAGCATTGGCAATAATATTGTTACTGTTTGCCTCATTAATAGCAATCTCTTTTCCCCTTTCACCTTAAGTTAGGATTAAGAATTTGCATGTATACTATATATATAGTAGGAATACATGTCCTACCTTTGCTTAAGAGTAGGCAAGCAAAAGGATTATTCAAATAGGTTGGTAAATTAAAACCGCATTAAACTTATAAGTACATCGGATTGCAATAAACAGTTTCGTTTCCAAGGAACATTCACGTAATGGTGATGGGATCGCTCAGGAAAGACTTATTCCGATTCCCGCAAGCTCGTGTGTGCAACATAGCGCATAACACTAAAATCGTCAAACGGGTTTGCAACGAACGAATGCCGTAATAAAAAGTTGTTCGAAAGACGGGTCGAGAATTCGCGTGTGGACATGGCCATAAGCGGAGCGGAGACTCTTTATTTTTTATTTGTTTCAGTTAACACATCAAGAGACGCTATTACAATTAACTGTCAGTCTGTCATTTATATATACTGTAAATATTACAATAGTGTAGAGTTGTGGCAATACCTAGGTATTTTGTACTTTACGTAAGGCGTTTTGGTAATACATTTTTTTATTTGCATTTATATTTTAAGCATCTTATTTGTGAAATACTTCATCAACAGTAAATAGGTAACTTTAGTTATTGGTACCACAGATAATATAATATTACATATTGGTACTAACTGACGAAATACCCGAGATATCATATTAATATAATGATATATATGTTACAAATGAATGTTCTAAAATTAATATACCTAGTGAGTATATTTCGCTCGCTAGAGATTAATTCGCTCTCGTGATATACTGTGGTATCGTCTTAGCATAGCAAGCTCTGGACCACGGACATCTCGATGGTTCGAACTGGCTCTAAAATTGCAACTTTTTGTTCGACGCTCGGTTATATTATGTATGTTTTTTTTTCTCTCACCAAAATCTATAAGTAGGTAACTAATGAATGTGCTGTACTTAGAATATAGGTAGATAAGAACTGATTATTTATGGAGTCGTTAAAAAGGTAATTCCGACTTTTCAATTTACATATTTCCAACTACGCATTATATTATTTTGTCACCTGACTGACAGCATATTCTGAAACCACTCACTTAATTATTCGATATCTTGTCTGGATACCGGTCTAAGGATTCAAGGTATTAAACCGGTACTTAAACAACTAGACTTAGGTTGACATCCTCGATTCAATTCCCGAGTCCAGGATTCCTCATTTGACAAACTTGATAGAGAATAATGTTAAACACTTTAAATATGGTAATAACTTGATTTCTATAATGAAGGTTTTATGTTATTAAAAAAACTAGAGAATCTCTACAATATAATATTACTATATAAAGTCAGAAAGTTTTTTTGTTTGGTTGAACGCACTAATTTTAGGAACAGTTCGGAAAGAAAAAATCTTTAAGTTTTGTATAGCTCATTTATCGACGAAAGGCTTATTCGATAAATGGGCAATATACCATCAGAACACGACAAAAAAACGGAAGAATAATAAAAATATTAATAAATAACGGGGAAAAATTATTCTTATTGAGAACAGACGAATTACCATAAGCTAGTTAACTTATATGTGTAAATACCGGACAGAACTATTGCTGCATAGTTGCAGCAGTGCAGTTTCGGTAGCAGAATTTGTTAGGTTTGAAAATGATCTTAAATACCTACTTAAATGATCAATCAGCATTTACAATAATATTGATTACGTCGAGAGTGTGTTTTTATACACAGAACAGTTTTGGTTCGTGTCGGTAAGTAAAACAGTTACAAAATAATAGTAAAACAGTTTTTGTTGATATTTATATTTAATACTAGCTGTACATGCGACTTAGATGGCGTGGAATTTAACTTTATTTTTCAAAAATAAAAGTAGCCTAAGTTACTCCTTATTACCTCAGCTATCTGCCAAAAAAAGTCCTGTCAATATCGGTACGGCCACTTCAGAGATTAGCCGGAATAAACAGACACACAGACAGACAAAAATTGTAAAAAATGTTATTTTGGTATATGTACCGTATTTATATTCATATGTATGTAGTAAAAAACGGTTATTTCAATATTACAAACAGACACTCCAATTTTATTTTTATGTATAGATAATTTGTTACTATTCTTAACATATTTTTTTTTATAACACAGGGGACAAACGAGCATGCGGCTCACCTGAAGGTAAGTGATTACCGCCGCCCATGAGCACCCGCAACACCCGGGGAATTGCAAGTACGTTGTCGGCCTTTTAAAAAGGAATTAGCTCTTTTCTTGAAGGTTTCAATATCGTATCGGTTCGGAAATACCATTGCTGGAAGGTGATTCCACAATGTGGTTGTGCGAGGCAAAAAGTTTCTAGAAAACCGCACTGTGGAACGCAGGATGGTATTTCAGTTTCTGGCGGGTGGTACGGAGGTGAAACTCAGCAGCTTGTATTAATCCGAACAATTCCTCAGAACACTCCCCGTGATATATGCGGTAGAAAATGCACAGAGATGCAATATCTCGCCGCAAAGTCAATGGGTCGAGTCTGTCACATAGACGTTGATTACCAATGATTCTGGCTATATATTTACCAATAAAGGAAAAACAATAGCAAATAAATTTCGATGATATAGGTATAACTATTAAATCTGATATTGAATCTGTCTTTATTTCATTTCTGTGAAAAGTCCATGACATTGTGCTACATATACCTACTACGATAAGGCCGTAATTCTTCCTTTAATTGTATATGTTGTTATCATTACACTCTTGTAGGTATACTAATGAAGGTACAACTACTTTAACTTCACCTTCAGTCTGCTATTTTCAGCAATCATAACAAAAGATCGCTGTTTAAAGCTGAAATTGTTTTTGTCATCTCCAATAACAAGAATTGATGATTGGTATATTTGCAAGTCATCTGCATACGCATGGAACGGAGAATAATACGAGAGAAAGATTGTTAGTAAAAACTGATCAACTGGAATCAATCGATTTATGATGCTATTGATGCATTTTAATACCTATCAATATAAAGTTATTAATATCTAGTATAATTTACGATATTTTAACTTTTAAAATGAAGGAATATTAGTTTTCGTTTTAATAGAATTTGATATCGTTATATATAGTATCAACCTAGTCTTTGTGGTTTGGATCTGGACTAAGGAAAGTCCAACAGTTTAATATTTTGAAAGATTAAGTTTGACTTTTCTCTGTAATAATTTGTGGTACTGTTAGACTTGAACTACGAGTAGGTATTGTGTAGATTGTATTTCATGGTATTTTTTTTCAACGCTTATATTTTTAGTATTATCTAAAAATATGAACATTGACCAATAATTATATACAATACATAGGTACATGGGATCCAAAGAGTTCTATAAGTATTCTCATTCGTAGCATGTTAATGGAATATTTATATATTTTACTGTTATGTTTTTATAATATATCCTATTCTTATCAAAAAGAAATACATAGTGATGAAAATTTCATTTTGCCATTTTGGTGTAATGGGCTTTTGTTGTGGCGGCAACCACATGAAGCAGCAACAAAACATAAAGCCGAATGTAGCCGATTACAGCCGGTCGCGCCCGAATGGAAAACGAATCTCGCTCCAAAACATGAACGTGCGTCGTCGTGCAGTCGTGCTGTTTGATTTGAAAACAAAATTCACCCGCCCGCTGCCGCCGCCGGTTCACGAGTCACCGGCAATCGCGAACTAGACTAGTAAAAACAGCTCAGTGCGCGAGCAAGCGTGATACGGAATGATCGTGTGGTGCGTCTTGCGCGGACGTTGACTCTGCGATTTATTTTTTTATCTTGCGATTTATACGGCCAGAATTATTCAAACGTTTTGGAGTATACAGTCGAGAAAAAGAAAAAGTATTTATTGACAAAGTTGACATTTATACTATTCGCGAAGATTTTTGACTAACATTGTGAACTTCCGTATAGACGCGAAAATAAGTGAAGACATTTCGAAAACAAAGGACTGTTTTGTACATTTTCGCGACAATTGCGAAATTGTGTTCAAAAATTACTGATCTGGCAATATCGTGTGGGGGCACAAAAAAATCGGAGCCCTTGACCAACTAGTTCGGGCACAATCTGTGGTCGTCAAACGACAAAACAAAATCGCAACGAATTTGCTAAAACGTTACAATTCGTTTTAAAGACATTCTTGTAAAATTCCCGTCAACGTCTTGAACTCGAAAAAATTACAGTGAATTTGTCGACCTGTCACATCGTGCTGCAGTGGATCTGTTTGCAAAATTTAAACACGAAGAACAAACTTCATTATATTTATCCTGGATTGAGTGTCGAATTGGTTTTACATAATGTCTACTGCCATAATGCATCAGTCTGCGCTGTACGGTTTTGACGATCTTTTCTTGAAGGTATGTTTAGTTTATTTATTTTCAAACACCACCTGCTTTAATGTTACGCTTTCATGAAGAATTGTATGTATCTACCTACCTTTGCAAAGCTGAAAGGATTAAATCCTAAAACATTGATATATTGATTTATTGCTTTGGTAAGATTAAAACAGTTAATGCACTAATAATTACTTCCGTAGTCAAAAAGGTCGTTAGAACTTAATTCATCGTTAAAATAAAATAAAAAATATTTCGGAGGTACCTACCTACTTAACATAATCAACAATTTTTATTGCTTTTTAAAATTTTTAAGTATTTGTTTATAGACACAGGATAAAGTTTATTTTTATACTATAAATACCTACTATTACTGTATAGCCTATACCTTTTACTTGGTATCAAAACAATATTATGTCATAACAATAATAATAGTCATAGCTACTACAGCTATCTAATCGCAGTTTAAATAGGTAGGTATAGGTACTTACCAAAACTACCTGGCTTCAAGTAAACAATCATTTGTTAGTGTCAATACTTAACTTAAAAAATAATATTTCGATAGTTACCGCCTAAAGAAAAACTAACCCGAGTTTATTTTCTATAGAGGAGTAACAAATTAGCCCCATTGTTAGCACAGTTGATAGGTGCCCGGTTAGTTAAATCACCACGTGGTCTGAATATTATTGTGGTTAATTCCTGATAAATACGATGTTACTAAATCTCATACTTAATTTTCCTATCCCTCGAATATGCTTTGCAAGCGTAGGTAAATCAAGTACTGGCGCAATTATTACTTCGTCATCTTTCCTAATGGGTAGGTAGGTAGATGACGTAGGTAGGTAAAATAGCATCAAGTCCGCTTTTTAAGTCCAAATTAATTTACTATAATTTTAAAATTACGTTATCTGTAGTTAGGTTTTAATTTTATTCATTATAGTTAAAAATATCCAGATTATTTTCGATATTTAATTTTCATTTTAGTTATTTTATGTATTGAATAATGTGTATTAAAAAGCTTATGGTCGCTACTTCGTCTACATGGCTCTCAAATGTCTAACTTACAGAAAATGCCTTAAAAAGTAGGCTTCTCTACTAAACCACCTATTGTGTGGGTACATTTTGGTAGGAGAAACGCGATTGAAAGAAAAATAAGATTTCGCCTATTGTGGTATTCTACTAGTGAATTGTCCACTGTTACTGGTTCAATATACATGAAGCGGAGGTATCAAATGTGTCTGATGAGTGAGAGGTGCTGAGGGTTTTAATGAGGAAAATACGGAGATTAAATAAAATGCGGCTAGTATGACAGCGATATATAATAGAAAGTAAAAAAAGGAATATGTCAAACAATATTATTATAAAATTTAAAAATGGTATAAAAACCTATCAAAGAGTTCGCTACAATACATTTAACGATATAGAGCTGAAAATTACATTTATGTTAATTTATTATATTTATTAATGTATCTTATCCAAATAATTAAGACGTCTGTGTTCTAAGACACTGTATAAAGAATAGGTCGAGAGGTCAAATGTCTACTAGTTTTTAACTTATGCTAAATATTTACGAGCCTTTGGTATCTGGTTCTATACATAAATTGCCCATAAATACTTCTCCAAACCTTTCTACACGTGATCTTTGGTTTGATGCATTATTTTATTATATGTGTATTGTATTATAATAAAACATGCGTATAATTCAATGGGTAATGAAAGAAATTCTGGTTTGGCTGTAGTCATTTAAATTCTGTGGTTGCTTCCTCGTCATTTTGATCCTTTTTACGTTCTTGGAATATAATATTAGGTACAAGTAGGTGCTTATAAACACAATGGAAAAGTATCAACTGAGTATATAATTATTATAGTACACATAACATGTACTTTGTTCGTATCTAATGTAAATGTCTAGAATATTAATATTTTGGTTATATTGTCTCTTGTACAAATGTAATAAATGTTTACCTTTCTACTATTGATTTTCGTGTAATATTTATCATGTCTTAGCCCACTGTAGTAATGGTGGCTAGGAATCAAGACATTGTTAAGTAATTTTACATCCCACTTAGATATTTTTAATGATTTTGAGATTTTTGCCTTTATCAAATAACGGCGATGTAAAATGCACAAGCTGAGTCGCCAAGTTTACTATTTGCAATTGAAATGAACTTAAAAATGGATTCCCGCCATCGCAATCTAAAAACTAGTCATTAGTAATAGCTCAGTATTACCGTATAAATTAGTATATTATCTGTAGATACCATGCGGAAAATAAGTAAAACCAGTTGCACTTGCGTGCATCGCCGCAGCTACACTAAGTAGCCCCAGTACAGGAGCAATTCTCGTGGCCAAGTATCACTTAGTGTAAACTGGTAAATTACTAACTTACCTACTGTTTACATAATTTGCCGGCCGTTCCCATGGAAATAGGAAGCATGCGACGTGCTAAATCTGGCCTATACATGTATATGTATACCATATGATAAGCATGATCGCCCAAGTGCTTAGGATGAAATGCATGCAAGATATAATTTTTACGGGTGTATGTTCAGTTATTGACCTTAGTTTTGATGTTTATTTCAAAATGATTATTATTTCCATCAATTTAAACAGTAAATAATTACGTTAAGTCGACCTCCACGCGTTATTACTGGTAACTATCCTGGTTACTTCTTGATGAAACTGACCTGACACTGTGCTCGTCCTATGATTTAGCATTGGTGCCCGTCAGTGAATGCTGTTAGCGCAGGCGGACGCTCCATTCCAATAACACTCGTTAAAAAATATGAAGTACCTGTATAAAGATGCTCTTCTATATATTGCACTTTAATAAACAATCACCTTATCAGCTCTTTTTATCGTAATTAGCCATTTAAAAATAAGTCAGACATAAAAAGAATAATGTAACAACAATAATATTAGATAGATAACATGAAAACCTTTTAATTCTATTTGTTCAGTTTTGCACCGTTATTTTGACAATGACATGCCAAGATTGTTTACTATATATGTTGTGTATATTATAATGATATGAGGAGCATAGAGGGTAAATGGGGGATAGATACTATCTCATATCTAAAAAAGCGACGAGATAAGATCGCGGGAAACAGCTAGTGTATACAGTGGACTAACCCTACGTATCAACTGAAAGTCAGTATTTGGATTGGACCCTGTAAATCGTGATGAAAAAAAAGTAGTATAAGTCATTTATCTCTTTACAATACTAATCTAATTTAATGTCTTTTTTCTTCTGTTTTTTTATATATTTGTACTATACAGTACATACAGAAAAAAATGTTTATATATATACATATATAAACATTTTTTTCTGTTTGACCTCTGAATGTGATCTTATTTTATACTAGCAAAAACATGTCAATGGTTCTATGATATAAATATACATTACATACCTAGGTTATTTATGCTTATATCTTTTTTACAAGTTCATTGTGTTTACTTATTATTTAGCACCTGTTTAGAATAACGTTTTATGACTTTGTTATATTTAGACTGATCATTGTAGAACCTCAATGTAGATAACGGATGAATTAATTTGCGAAGAATTTTATTCCTTATTCACTTTTTTTAGGAAATTTGACCTCGTGTTTTGTATTCCTTGCTTTGTTAATTTTAAATACGCCTTTATATGTTTCTGGTTTTAAATCTAACTAATTTATAGGTCCCTAAATGCTTAAAAATGCAATCAGTGAGTTGTTTTATATTCAGTTACGTGTTTTTTTTATTATTTCGTTTCATTTTTAAATACCTACACTAATAACTGGTTTGGAATACTTATACTCACGATGCGTTTTTATTTTATCCTTTTCAAATCTCAGCAGGGGTGCAGTGTGGACAGACAAGTCACGAAAATGGCGTAGCTCGATGGACCACGTGTTCTTTGAAACACATCTATGACTATCGTAATAGAGATCGTAATCGTTTACCGAGCCAGTTTCGGAGGTTTTATGTAGTACTCCGATGTAAAACCGGTTCTATTAGCTAAATCACATAGTTATAAATGGTTCGCCCCTCTCGTACACTACCTGCTGCGTTTTTGTGGTCGTTTCTTTTGCGTAAAAGACACTTGTTGCTTGGGGTCGCTGTGTTTTGTATTCTAGTAAATAATAAATAGGGGGATATACGGATCATCTTCGTATATAAGCGAATTCATATATAATATAGTATGTTAAGAGTCTCATTAGTAAATACAGATTAATTTTCTTTATTTTGTCAGATTTTTTTTTTCAAATTACGAATTCTACCAACATTTTTAATAGATTCACCTGGATTTAGTGAGATGTTTTAGTTATTTTTTTAATTAATTATTTTATTAGCAATCCCGTCATTGCATATTTTAAATTTTACTTTAAAAGCCACAAATTTATTATTAACGAAAATAATGTTTTAGTTTAGTTCTAACATCTATTTAATAACTTTAGAGAATTTTAAACGTGTTAATAACTGCCTTTTCTAGAACTGTTATTATAAATATGTAATTTAAAAATTGTATGCTATTTGTATGAAAAGAATTGTTCGTTGTTTTTACGTATAGAAATTAATACTGTAAGTAATACGTATAAAAATATTTTGAAGACTGTTGTTAACATATACACCTATATGTACACCTGTGTACCTATATGTCATTTTACTACCTACAAGATCTATAAATATAGTGCTTGGTGAACAACCTAATATTTTATAAACTGAATAACAAGCAACGTTTGTATAAATTTTTAACGTACGTGTAATATAAAGAAATAATGCCTACTACATATTATTTGCAGTGGGAATTTTGAAAGGTGCGTCCTTTTATAATAATTTTTCTTTTGAACGTTGGGTATAGTAAAAGGTTAAAAAAAATTCACATAAAACCGTTGAACTTGTGAATACACCTACAATCTTCTACCTGCCACTTGCCTATTTACAAATACAACCGCTCTCCATTATTTTCAATGCTTTTTTGTGCCACTCTTATGCCCAGATAAAAGCTCTTTGTTCCGTATCTTCTCGTCCTGAATCTATAG